TGGATTTGGCTCCTTCTTGGTATAGAGAACTGCCCACCATAGACACCAGATAAATGTTGACAGAGTCCTTTCCTCTTCACCGCTCCTGTGTATCTTACCTGCACATTTAGATTTGCTGCTCTTGGATAAGGGAAAAGAAGTTGAGTAAAAGAAATGTTTTGTTGTTGTTGTTGTTAAAGAAAATGTTAAGAATTAGAAGAAATATATTTTTACTCAAAAACACCCAAAGTGAGATTTCCAGACAACGTCAGGTTATCCTATGCACAAGCAACCTGTAAATGCCCCGGTGGCCCTACTGATTGTGTCTCGGGGTTCATACAGATCCCTGGATGGATTTAAATGGCTACTCCTGCTCAAAGGTCAGGCAAGAGTACCTTTTGCATACATCACACAGAGTCCCCTTCCTTCAGCCGAATGCATTTTCTTCCTCAATCTGTGCTCCGCATAGGATAAGCTCCAGGCTTAAGAAATAAGAAAGTAGGTGCCCAGACTTGGGCAGCTCTCTTGAGTCACCCTTAGGAACCTCACTGGAATTCTGTGAGGATTGAGGATGCAAAACAATGAAATATTCCGAGGCTGCTACAATTCTTACAGGCTTGAACTTATCTCTTGGAATTCCCCAGAAGTTGTGAAGTCATTGTTGACTGGCTGATGTTACCTAAATGCAGTTTCTTATTTCTCCTCTTTATTTTTATTTATTTTATTTTATTTTTTTGAGTTGAAGTCTCACTCTGTCGCCCAGACTGGAGTGCAGTGGCCGCTCCCGGCCACCGCAGCGTCGACCTGCTGGGCTCCGGCGATCCTTCCGCCTCAGCCTTCCAAGTAGCCGGAATTACAGGCATGCGCTACCACGCCCAGCTGATTTTTTGATTTACTGTAGAGATGAGGTCTCGCTGCCCAGGCGGGTCTCGAACCCGCGAGCTCAGGCAATCCACTCACCTCAGCCTCTCAAAGGCGCGGGATTACAGGCTGAGCCACCGAGCCCGGCTATTTCTTTTCTTTATTAGAAAGCAGTCCAGAAAAGTGGAGTTAGACCAGCCTGCACCCAGATACCAGCAATAGATACCATCTGTGGAGCTGGTGACTTGTATGGGTGGCTTAGCCTTTCTAATCTTCAAAACAGTTTCCTCATTATGGAATGGAGATCATGATGCCTTTCATGCAGGGGTATTGTGAGGCTGAAATAAAATAAAGACTTCATGGGAAGCACATGCCACATGCTCCCTTAATGCGAGCTCTCTTTCCTGATTGCTGCAGTGACTGTGTGTTCCAACTCTAATTAGGACATGTGTTGTGAGAGGTATGAGTATTTATATATGAGTACCCATATGTATTTATGGATAAAGGGACACAGAAATTTTATATTGGGGCTATCCTGGACATTCTAGGACTTATGGTTGTATAAATTTGTAGTGCCTAGCACAGGCTTGGCCTCATAATTGACACTTGATGAATGCCGAAATATTTCCTTTTTTTTTTTTTAAGTTTTCAGAATTTATTAATGAGAAAAAGAAAGAATATTCATGGCAGAAAGACCTGCCATGGTGAAATATTTCTTAATCATAGAGGGAAAAAAATTCTCAGTGACCTTTTACAGCAATGCTTGATTGTAGGACCTACTGCTAATTTTTTTTTAAACCTCATTATGCATGGATAACACAGTTCTGGGTAAAAAGAGGACTTAAGATGCTATGACTTAATTGTGTCTGTTTGACAGAGACAATACACTGCCTTCTGATTTTAGAATGTAGGCGAGAAAGAAACTATTTCAGTTCTAAACAAGAATCCACGTACCTCAAATCCTGAACTAGCCTGCATTACTTCTAGAGAAGGGACACTCCTTTGGACTGGTGAAGGTAGGCTCTTAGGAAGATTGCACATGAGTGCTGAGTGTGTGTCCAGTGCACCTTCCCTTCGGGGGCTGACTGGACCATCCGAGTAACCTAGGGAGGAAGCAGGAAGCTTCAGACACCAGGAATAGAATTCCCAGCTGTCCTAATTTTCACAGGGTACTCCCGTTATTTTTTCTCCTTAAAGTATTGACATACATCCTGCAAGCGCGTTAAAAGCCGAAAACTATTTGGATTGTAAAAATCTAATGACTCAGCATCCAGAGTGATGTTTCTCGCTGGCGGAGACATTGTGTACCAACAGAAAAGCCAGATTGGGCCCATGGTTTAGACTAATCTTCTGGATGTTCTCTGTGATGAAAAGAGATCGTCACAACTTCACTTCTCTGATTCGATGGATCTCGTTTGCTACTTCAAAATTTGTATTTGAAGATCTGTGGTGTTCTTTCGTACCCCAGCTTCTGGAGTATGCTGCTACTTCTTGGAAAGATTCCAAAAATGTTGTCTACGACTATGAATATCTAGAAAAGAAGACTGGCATTTGCATCTTTCCCCAAGTTCTTTAAGCTTATCTGACTGAATTTGGGGGTAGACAAAATAGTTAATGTGTTTTTTCTCAAGTGAAAGAAGTGGACTTTCGAAGAGTGTGGTACTTAGCTTCTTGTGTATGGCTGTTTGCATCCATGATGTCGGAAATCTAGAAAACTATGCAGCCCAAATTTCGGCTTAATCATTTTTGTTGGTAATGTGTAGCTACATCTTGTTAATAAAAGATTACTTAATGAAAGCTGGCACCACCATCTTGAATCATTTTTGCAGAAGAGTGTACTTGAGTAATTGTATATTCAGACTTCAATTTATTAAATCTCAATAAATAGCTTCCCATAGGAGAGATATATTTTTTTTCTGTTTAATCTATAGAAGTTGACTATAGTACAAGCATCAGCTTTCCCAGACAACTTTTCTACAAAAACCCTGCAGGGTAGAAAAGAGACCTTTCCCTCAAAATAGTGACTATTGCTGGCATGACCATTCTGTGCCTGGTGTCTACCATTTTTCATCTCATCTGGGTTGTAGGTTCCATCGCAGTGATGGGGCACTAAGGTACAACAGGATGAAAGGGTGCCTTTGGCGTTTTTACCATGGCTCCCAGGAAATAGCCACTATGTTGTGTCTGTGACACTCTTCCTGCTCAGAACTTTTGACACAGGGCAGAAGCCTAGTGGGGTCAGTCCTGGCATTTATAATGGGAATAGGGACAATTTCTTTAACAAGTTCCTAAATCGGGCAACCCCCTTGGGTCCCCTCCCACTGTGGGAGCTATTCTTTTCTCTCAATAAATCCAACTTTCTCAACTTAAAAAAAAAAATCCTAAATCAAGGACCTCTCAGTTCTGTAATTGAGGAATCTTTGAAAATACCTGTAAACCATCTTTTTGCAAGTACGACCAACTTTATTTCTGTTTTTCTTAATTCTGGAACTGTTTTATCTTCATTTCTAGAACGTTAATATTTAGTTAGCAGTAGGCCCAAGTTTTCCAATCCCTCAGCCTTTTCAAAGAGTTAATGGAGTGAGAACAAATGTATAAATGCACAGGGGAGCCCTGTGACTTGTAGAAGCTTTATATTGAATAATTTTGAAGAGGAAAGACTTTTTTTGTAATAATAATACTCATTTTTGGACTCTTCTATAATATGCTCAGGCAGGGGTTGTGGAGATTATTGGGGGAGTGGGAGAAATGCCATTCTACCAAACACAAAATGTGTAAGCCTGTTTTACATGGAAGTCACAGATTCCTAAGCATCCAATTTAAAAATGAGCAGAATTAGATGGGTACCCTTAATCGGCCCTTCATGGTTAGGGGAGGAATCAGGATAGGGAACATAAGTCATTTTGGTTTCAGCTGTGCTTTCAGGAGACAACCCTACCCCATACTCCATACCCTATTTTTTTTAAAAAGAGCTTTCTATAGTGGTTAGTAAATTTTACATTTCAGCCCTTGCCTGCGACTGTTTTCAACCTTCCCAGAGCTGTGTGCGGCTCACCTTCTGTTAGGTGTCACTACTGGCCTCAGAAATTGCAGTGCCTCCCTTTTGTTCAGCTGGTTGGTTTGATAGGTTGTATCTGCAAATTTGAAAGCAGTGTTTTTTGTCTTTTTTTTTTTTTTTTACAGCATCTGAACAATAACGTAACCACATCACGGCGTTTTTAGTCACATCATTGACCTCTACCAGCAGTTTATCCCCCTACAACACTTGAATGCATTAATATCACTGTCTGTAGCATTTTAATTTAATTAGAGCAGTGGTTATAATCCTCTTGGGAGAATCGTTATCCACCCCATCCCTGTAATGTTAAAATAAAGCACCTCTGGTTTTCATCTGTCTGACAATTTGCTTTGGAGGTGAATGAGCTGTAAGCTGGGACTCTTACCCACCACCCCTCCCTTTTGGGATTGGACCAGAGAATCAGTTATGAGTCAAGAGGTTCCCTTTATTTGGGAAATTGGATGTTAGTCTTTTTAAGTGTCTCCGTTTGAGATAGTGGTATTTATTTCATTTCTAATTGCTGATAGTCGTCTGTTGTGCCACTGTGGATGTTAAGTTTGTGGTAATAGCAGTGGAATAAAAAATGAGGACTGCATGAGGTCACCCTGGAGATTTATAGAAAGACAAAAGGAGTTAAATCTGTGTATGAGATTCCCAGCTGTGTGTTTTGCTCTTCTGGGAGAGGAGCCCACAGACTGGGCAATGTCCTCTCTGGGGTCTCCTGAGTGTTCTGCTGACTGCTGAACCCATAGTTACCTTAGATGCCATGGCTGCTAGAAAATTTCTCAAAGCTCTAGAAGCACATTCTGCTTTTGCTCCTCTTGGTCAAGGTAACCTCTCTTTTGTTACTGACAGGTCTCTTCATTGAACCTTTGAAAAAGAGCTTCTTGACCTAAGCTTATGGCATTGAATACTGTCTTCCAACTGAGGGGAAACCATCATAAGGAATGAGAGAACAGTGAGCCACAGTCTCTCAGTCTCTGACCCTCCTTTTATAGGCTTCTTCATGAAATGGCATGGTTGCCTCCAACTAAAATTGCTTGGATGGAGGTTGTGGGGGAATATAGCATAAAATCGCAGAGCGGGCATGGAAGTGTGACATCTCAGTGTAGCTGTAAGGTCAGGGAATTACGTAGAAGTGAAAACACATGGAGGGGATTTTTTAAAGAAAGTACAGTGAAATGGAGGTACTGTGCAATGATGACTTAGCAAATCAGAATATTTACACTTTAGAGCTGATACCTAGCTTGACTCTTTTGTCAGCAGGCGGGGGTGGATTTCCCAAGAAATGAAGTAAAATCAGCTTAGAGAGCTGGGTTTCTCCCCACTTACTCTTGCAGGAGCTGGGGGGGCGCGGTGGTGAAGTGGCCTCTCACTCTGAGAGACTAACTAGAGAGTCTTGTGAATCTCTCCTTGCTTCAGAAGAAAAATGAGCATGTCCCAGAATGCCATCATCTTTTTTTCTTGTACTCATGCCATGCCATTTGAAGACCCTTTGGCCGTATGATGTTTTCTTGACTAGCAGTTTCACTTCTGTAAAAACACTCACAAAAGAGAAAGTTATTTCTGAGAATAGAGTTAACAGTAGATATTTAGACACATTAATGGCATTGAGGGGGTCATGTGAGAGCTGAAGAGTATGGGAAATTTGTTAAACTAGAAAAATAGACTATGTTTGAAGTGCTTAAAAAAAGCCCATCTCCCCTTAAAGAAAAAAAAACCAAACCTATTTTATATGAATTTCCTATATGGGTCTTTATGTTTTTGCCTATTTCATTCCCAACAACCCCAAACCAGACACCAAAAAGTTAAGTTAGAGTTTCTCAAAATACATGTGATGCTTGGCAAAGGTCAAGAAAAGTAAAGTTGAAGGCTTTGCCTCTGGATGACCTTTCACAAGACATCTTGATTGACACAGAAATGAAATCGAGGCTGTATGTGCCTGCCCTTAATTAAGACATTCACCAGGAAACTTTAGGATGCATGTTTAAACAGAAATATTCTAACCACCCTAGTTGCTGCTGGTGGATGCCTTAGGGAAGGTATAGCAGTTCCATTCGGAAATTACAACAATATGTATACATTCATTTAAAATGGAAACTTCCTACCACAACCACCAAACTTTCCAGGCTATGAGCAGAAGAGAAACTTTAATTTGGTTATAGGACCGGGGACTCCCCTGCATCCCTTTGTATTTTTGATGAAATGTAAAACATTGAAGAACTCTCTTTCCAAAATACCACCTTTCCTGATTGCTCCTGATTTTTATTTTCATAGTGGCATCTTCCTGGTCTTTCTCCTCCGCCTTATTTTTTGTCCCCTGTGTGTCCCGCTTTACTTTGCTCAGTTAAACCACAGAAACTAGAGGCAGTTATGTTTATATGTGGACTGCAGGTCCACCCAGTTGGTATATTGATCTAAGATGCAAATTGCACTGTTATTCTGCTGAACCCAATAGTTGGTTTTTTGCCATTATTTGCAGTAATTTCCCGCTCCATCCAGTTTGTTTTTAATTGATCTAGCAGACACTGCTTGTTTGATCAAACAGAAGATCCGCTGTAGACCTCCACACCATTTGTCAGTTGATAAGTGTCTTCAGTCAAATGGTACTTCCCTTAAATTCAGATAATTCTTTGAACAAACTCTGAAATACTTCAGAGAGAAAGGAAATACTGACCCTGAGATGGAGAACAAAGGAACAAGGAGATAAACCATTAATGTTGTAGATAATTCCCCACTATGAAGGAAAAAAACTGGACATTGGATATTTTGGGTTGTGGTAGCTGTATAGTGAGATAGGTAGACTATAGAAAAAACTTGCTCATGGACTTGCTGATTAAATCTAGAACTTGCCTTTGAAGCTGTCACTTTGTCAGTTTGCTTATTGAGCTCATTCTCTTTGGATCTGAGTCTAGAACCATAACTTTGATTAGAAGCTGGGGTTATTGCTAGAGAAGTGGAGAAGTGACTTTAATACATGGATGGCATTAATTATGTGACTTGGGCAAGTAATTTTTGAAAGAGTTGCCATTAAGTTACTCTCTTGGACATATTTTTTTCATTCCATTTTGCCCCTCCTCTTTACTTGAACAAGCCACAGGGTGTACACTTATTGACCTGAGTCCAAAGGAAAAGCCTATTTCCAATCTTTCCAGAGTTTTGTTATACAGGCCAAATGCTAGGCACCTGAAAGACATCTGGGCACAAAGTCCCTATTGGATTGTTTGAGACTCTGGTGTTCCAAATACCCCCCCCTCCCTTTTGCTCCCCACCCCCTGGATGATTTCGCACCTCATTTCAAGCTTTCATTGTCTCTCTCCCCCTCCCCTCTTCCCGCCCTTATTTTTAACAGCAGGAACGAATTTCATATACACCTCCAGAGAGCCCAGTGCCGAGTTACGCTTCCTCGACTCCACTTCATGTTCCAGTGCCTCGAGCGCTCAGGATGGAGGAAGACTCAATCCGCCTGCCTGCGCACCTGCGTGAGTGACTCAGAGGGACAGATGCTTGACAGCAAGGGTGGGGGAGACGGGCATTGTGCTCCTGGCAGTAGGGGGGTCAGCTCTGATCCTTTTCACATGACTCCGCCATGGTGCTTTGGAATCTTTCACCCGTACTCCAAAATGGTTTGAAAAGTTTGGGGATTCCTGTTCCTTGTTTCTCCGTGTATTCATTTCATCTCTATGACATGTCAAAAACAAATCTGGAACTATGCAGTGTATGGCAGAGTCAACTCAATCTCCTAGTAGGCAAGATCGTTTTTTGGTGTGTGTGTATGAAGTTTATATGTATTCCCAAATTCACACTTACTCAACTTTAATATTTTCTTTGATCCTAAGTTTTGCTCCATTTCTGAGTCAGACTAACTTGGGTTTTGTTTGCAATTTGTGTGCTCTTCCTCCTTTACGGAGGCTCTCTCTCCACGCTCTCCTGTGCTGACTACTTTTCTTGCCTTCATTGGATTTGCTTACTTAGGTCCTTTCTTATGGCCTCTGTTTCTTTCTGCTTCCTTCTCTTGTGCTTGCTTGGCCTCAGCAGCTGTAGTTTGTAGGATTTCTACCTTTTTCTCCTAAATCGTCTCTAGCCTTTGCCTGAACTCTCAACTACATCTTGGTGGAACATTGGGGCCCACACACCTGTGCTGCTGATACTGGTCCCCAAAGCCACTGACACCTATCATTTTCTTTTTGACTGTCTTTCCTGTACTGCCATTCAGGTTGGGTGATAAAATGTGAGTGGAGCATCACATCATTATGACATCCAAAAGTATGCCGGATTCTCTGGCTTGAATATCCTGAGTGCACAAGTCCAGGTTATGGAGGACACTTGCTGTCAGGTTAGCCCTGCCCTAGTTGACTTCCAATGACTTAAGTGGTAGTATAGTCATGTTCGCTATCTCTCTCTGGCATGGTAACACTCCCCAGGCTATTCTCCTCTTGTTCTACCCCTTCTCAAAAGGTTGCTTGCTGAAAGTAGAGAACAGTAGGAGACAGAGGATGCAGGCTCTTTTGTTTTTTTCTCTGTGATAATTCAGGGAATCAGGTGACTGTGGTGCTGGGAACACTGGTGGCTTATCCCTTCTGCCCTACACTGAGGATAGTTGCTAAGATTTTTGCAAGGAGTTGGGGCATGAGAATCCTCCCTTCCTCCAGCTTTCTGAGTCTGTCACTATTTTCAAAGTTGCTGCCTACTACGGTCAAGACATGCCTGCTTCACCTGGCAGGGAGGTAAAAGACACAGCCCTACTCTACCAACTTTCCCTCCACACTGAACTTTTATGGAAGATGTTGGGACTGCAGAGGTACCAGATCATAGGTTGGGCCACTGCAGTCCTTAGGAAACTGGAATGTCATGGCACCATGGGAGCAGACAAAACTGGAAAGGAAACAGCAACTAATAGCATATTTTCCCTCCCAAAGTCATTCTGTGGTCAATATATGTGCTTCAGAATATTCACCTTGGGATGAACATACTCCTGCCTCGCAGGCAAAGCACTTCTACTACCTAATCTCATTCATGTGTTCATTCCACAAATAGTTATTGATTGCCTCCATTGTGCCTGGCACTCTTCTAGGTTCCAGGAGTACAGAAATGAACAAAGCAGACAAAACTCCCTTTACCTGTGGAGCTTAAATTCTACTACAGATGAAAAAAACTTATGGACACTTGTACAAAACAGACTGAAGTTTTTTTCATAACTTTTTACTCCCATACTTTGTACCATCCTCCAAGAAGGCTCTCGCTTCTGGTTTGCTTCTGGGTGCCTTGACACATGTAAGCTCTTTTGCTGTGAAATTGTCTTTCCATAAGCAAGCAAACATACCCAGTGAACTGAAGGTCAGGAGACCTTAGTTCCTAGCTAGTTCTGCTGTTTGACTGTATATAGGTCATTTAACTCAGTTGTCCCACCATACAATACTGTGTTTGGACAAAAGAATGTTTAATAGTTCTCCTAACCTTAGAATATTATGATTCTCATCTTAGCCATCACTCTTCTTACTTGGAACTGTTTCTCCTACTGATACTCGTATTGTTTTCTTGAGTAGACAGTTTCCTCATTGAGTCTCATTGATTTAGCTTACCAGCATTTTACTAGCTGCTACTGTGTGCCTGGCACACAGTCATAATAGCTAATATTTATTATGAGATTTCTTATACCAAGCACTATGTGAAGTCCTTGATAAGAATTATTTTATTTCATTCTCATGACAGTACCCGTAAGGTAGGTCTTCTTTTTATCTCAGTGCCACACTTAAGGCTTAGAGAATTTAAGCCCTTTTATCCCCCAGAGTCACAGAACTAGTCAGAGATAGAATCAAGGTTTAAACTCAATTCTATCTGACTTCAGAGCTTAGGCTTTTATCCATTATGCCACCATATAAGTATGTGTTTCATAAATATTTTGGGGGTGGATGGTTGGCTGAATTCAGAGTTGACACTTAGCGTATTCACTGATATGGCCATAGCTTTGGTTTATGGCTGGAATCTATTCTAATTGTTGTTCTGTATGTTCTGTTGTAGTTTGAATATCACCCTTGGTTGAGTGGCTGGATTGCTGGCTGGGTTGCTGGTTGGATGGATGCATGATTGAATGAACTGATAGATCCCTACACAGATAACTATCAAATACAGAACTGTAACACATTAATAAAATCAGTAGTTAGATAATGGATTCTGATCAGGGTAATGATTTTGCCCAGATGCCTGCTCTCTGGCAGTCTAACTGTAGATACCTCTGCTTGGTCATCTGCATGAGACCTGTTGTGATACCACTGGCTCCCACATCTGGATTGAATCCTTTGGAAGTGGAGGTTCCCAGGCTCTTGCTGTTTGCCCTCAGCTGGGGCTTTCCAAATGAGAACGAGCTTCCCTCCTCCCTCTCCTATTCCAGGACCCGGCCGCTTGTCATGCTGTTTGAGACAAGCGGATAGCCCCCACAGTGGTTGAGGCTGTGCCACACACTTGAAGATGCATCTCAGCTGAGTTTCCAAACCTAAAAGAAAATAAATATTCTAACAAGGGAATTGGGCTATTGCTGTTTTAATCTGGAATTCCAGACAGTTCCCAGTGGAATGCTCATGGAAAGTACGGGGAAGAATCTGAAAGCCAAGATAGCAGCAGGACATTTATGGTATTGCTAGGTTGAAGGCATTTTTAGCTGCTTGTTTTAAAGAGATACTCACCAGCCTACTATGCCTCAGAGTAGCTTCTTTTCACTCTTTACCATTGATCTCCAGATAAGCCCTCTCACTTAACTTGTTCTTTTTCTTTTCTCATTTTTAAATCAAAATATATCCATGTGGATGGGTTTAGGGAGGGGCGGGGTCATAATATTTAAGATTCTCATACAGAGAGTTTCTTACCATTTTGTTCTACAGTTGCAGAGCTAGACTCAAACTGAAGACACAGTGTGACAAATTAGCAAGTAATTGAGAAGTAGACAGTAATGCCTCTTCTATTTGCCTATGATAAAAGCAAAGTGATAAGAGGAGCAAAGTGTGAAGTGGTGATTAGGGAGGACTTTAAAAGGGACCAGCAAAGCAGTCTGGGCCCAGGACAGTAGGAGAGCCCAGGGAAAGAGGGCTGTACCATGTCATCTTGGTCTCACTCACTGCCCAGATCTGCAGGACGGTGCCCTTCAACGATCCGACAGCAGAACTCCCTTGCTCACCAGGAGAGCAAACAAAGAGTCTGTTTGTTAACAGTATGGAAAGGGCATCTTTCTTGTCTTCTTCCATAAAGGGTACTGACATTTTTTTAAGCTTGAGGGTGGAAGTGCTGCAGTACAACAATTACGTAAGGCAGGTGAAAAGGAAAGTTCCGGTCTTTAAAGCGAACATAAGCCTTTCATCATAACTCAAAAATACTTGAAGGACCAAGGACCCCCCAAGGATACCCAGGCTAGATCACTCTTGACTCTCTAAGCTGAGAGGGGCTGTTGCCAGAAACAAAGGATGCCTTTGCCCTATTCTCACTAGGGTCCTCACAGTGTGAGGGAAGGACATTTTCTAATTCGTTTGTCCGAAGACCATGTTTCTCTAAACACGTGTGAAAGTGGGTGCTGAAGAGAACAGTTAAAGGTGCCTTATGAGTTGGAGCCAGCGTGCCGATTAGCAGAGGCTTGCTCTGTGAGACACTAGGCCTCAAACACTGATACTCAGACCAAGCCATACGATAACAGTATAAGCATATTTCAGATTTATGGGGGTGGAATTTAAATATGAGATCTATTTTAAAAATTATCATCTCACGTTTAGTTGACATTGTGTCATTTGCCCAAAGACATTGCATTCTGCAGTGTCCATTTGGCCTTCTAAAATCCCTGTGAATGATATTCAGAAATCAGAACCTAGAACTCATTCATAATATTTAATAGGGTTATGGTGTATGATGTTGCATGTTAATAAATAGTCATAATAGCCTCTTGGAGTTTTCTGGAGTTAGAACACCAGAAATAGTCCCTTGGCTCAATTTCCTTCCTTGTGAATCTTTCAAAATTCTTACATTACTACTCCTGGTTGTATGTATTTAATAATTTAATTTAATGCCTTCCTTTGGAAACGTTACCTCGCTGCTCACCCACTCGGCTGTTTTGCCTTCTCAGCAGAGTAACCGAGTTTAAGGCAGCCACGTGACAAGCCAAGCTATATTAGAACCAGCATAGCGAGGAAGGGTGCAGCGCTGCTCTTTTATAATTGGCTAGAGCAACAATTTTATATACTTTGACCTTATTTTTGTTCCCAAAGAAAGCAGCAAAAATGGGAGCTGAATATGACCATCATTAGTATTTTATGCCTATCAGTAACACAAAGCGTTCATACATATTGTCTCATTTAGTCATCCAGCAGTCTTTGAAGTAGTGTTAATTCTTTTTGATTGATGAGGTGATGGTGGCTCTGATGGGTCAACTGAATTGTCCAGGTTCACATAGCACGTGAAGGGTCTAATGTAGCTTCTTCTGAAGTCACCCTTCAGCTTTCTT